ATGACCCATTGCACATTTTCTTTCAATTGAACTCTTTCATTCCGAAAGTGCATTGAAATAGTAATGGTGTGTGATTCCAGTAGGGAAGAGTTCAGTGCCAGCGGGCCATGGTTGTCCGGACTTGGTTTGAGGACCACTCTAGGCCCCTCCGACAAATAGTGTAGCTACCTATTATATACCGTACTTATGAACATTAATGGCTATGTCCAATCCTCATAAATACGTCGGACACTGTTGTAAAAGGGGAGTAATATGGTGTCTAAGTAGTCCATCACTAGCAGTTGTTTACCTACTTCACGCCGCTGGCGAGTATTGTATTTTGTTGATGTTATAAAGATTATCATTTCATTTCCAACTTCCGTTTTGGTTATTCCTCATTCAGTAAGCTTTTCTAGGTTACAACATTAATGAACCGCTAAAAAAATGGTTGCTCTTTAAGAAAAGTAGTTCTTCAAATGTAAATTATGTGTAATCATTAGAACAGATATATAGATAGATAAACAGAATTAGATAGATTGATAGAAAGCAATTTAGGAATAGACAGACAAATAGAAAAGGACAGACAAGCCCAGTATACCATACTATATAACACACGAAGGGAGACGAAAAGATAGATATATATATATTTCCCAAGAGATTTTACGTATAGATGAATGAAACTCGACAGAAATTTGAACTCGGGCACACAGATTTCTAGTTCTGTACCGCTACCCATTACACCACCCGCACAGAATTAAACTGTTATATACGGTAGCTATGAACACTAATGTGTATGTCCCAATCCTCATAATTACGTTGGGCAGTATTGTAAGTGGTGTTAATATGGTGTCTAAGTAGTCCACCACTAGCAGTTGTTTACCTACTTCATGCCGCTGGCGAGTATTGTATTTTGTTGATGTTATCATTTCATCTCCAACCTTGGTTTTGGTTATTCCTTATTCAGTAACCATTTCTACGTTACAACAGTCATGTTTTGCCAAACAGATATAACTATAAATCATTGATCTTTGTCATTGTTTTATATATATATATATATATATATATATATATATACCGTACCTATGATCACTAATGGGTATGTCCCAATCCCCATACATACGCTTGTCACTATTGTAAGTGGGGGGAATATGATGAAGTTGGAAGCTCTTGCCGTGTCGAACTCTCTGCCTTTGGGAAGAGGGGAACCCGGACGCGGCTATGCCATATATATGCGGGGTGTACGGGCAATTTTTGCCCGAGCTCACAGGATCAGATTTCATCACATTAAACTTGACCTTTTACCGCATCCTACTTCGTGGGGAGGCAGGTAATTATCGTAATATGCAGTCGAAGTGGTCCATCACTAGCAGTGGTTAAATAATTCACGCCGCTGGCGAGTATTGTATTTTGTCCATGTTATAAAGATTACTATTTCATGTCCAACCTTTGTTTTGCTTGTTGCCCATTCCTTTTCTAGGATACAACACTACTACATTCACCAATCATGTGCCCAATCTATTATTAATAATACTTGCTGGAGAGGCCTGCTCATACACAAAACCCTACACATAGAAATTTTAGAGAACTGTGAAGAGCTACTGAAACGGTAAAAGTCATCATCTACCCAGAATTCTTCTGATGTCTTCCAAAATCGATTCGGCGTCCAATACCTGCACTTCGTCGGATGGAGGAGATTCGAGGAGATCAAATCAGTGTATGTTATGTAGATTCTCATATTTTTCCGCTGAATAATTGCTGTCTTCCAATTTCAAAAAAATAAATAAAAAAATACAATTCAGAAATAAGATGTGAAGTTCTTCCACTTTAGAAATTGTCTTGTTTCCAAAGAGTCCCGGTGGAGTAATGGATAGTGGCTCGGATTGAGGAACTGGAGAGCCGAGTACGACTTCCAATCAAATCCATTGGGAAAGGTAGGAATCCTCTTCTCCTCATCCCTCCCAGCTATTGGAAAGTAGCAAGACAGACCGGGTTCTATAGCCATGGATGGCAACTTGTCTACCGCAGAAAGAAATGGCAATCTACTGCGGGGAAAAAATCTGCCTTGTCAGATCGAAAGATACATGATGGCCTAAGTGTGTATCACGCATGACACGTAACTGACTGACTTGTCTTCAAGCTTTTCAATGATAGAGGATGAGTTATTTCGCTTCTTGCAATGATTCTTTTCTTATGTACGCTTTGAACAAGCTGATAATAACCAGAATATCTTCAGAGGATTCATAGAATCACAAACCAAATTGTACTTTTTGGACTGATCGTAGAATTTATCTGAAACGTTCTGCTAGGTTATAGAAGCTTAGAATGAAGAATATGTTTATAAATAATGACTTTATAACGTCAGACGATTAAAAGAAGGGAAATATTTGCATTAAACTAATACCTGAAACAACAAAACAAAAGGCCATGAATTAATATGTATACAGTATTTTGTGAAAAGATGCTGTAGGCATTCAACAGTTTCTTAAAATGTAAACAAAACATTATATTTTTTACAAAAAGTACAATATAACTCTCTGGAAAGTGTTTTAACAGAAGACACAATGCGTGACACTGAAATACGAAGGAACATTGGAATAGCGAATTATGCCTTCCAAAATTTAAGCAATGTATTAAGAAACAGGAAATGTCGTTAGAACCAGAGAAAAAAAACACTGAACTATCATGTAATATCAGTCCTCCTATACGGCAGTGAATGCTGGACAATATCCTCAAGGAGAAAGAAGGTACTTGAAGTAACACACATGTGGTTCTACAGAAGGATAGTGAGAATACCACGGTCTGAACATGTGAACAACGCTGTTTTCGAGAAAATGGGAACAAAAAGGACACTTACACTTAACATCAAGAAGAGACTGATTGAAATTTCTTGGGCACATAATGAGGAAAAAGGGCTTGAAAAATGTTATACGCACAGGGTAGATTGAAAGTAGGACAGAGGAAAGCAACGTATATACAGTGTAAACCGGATATAAGAGACCCGGATATAAGAGAAACCCGGATATAAGAGAGATTTTCTCTGGTCCCAAATTAGAGCCTGTATACAAAATAGACCAAACCCGGATATAAGAGAAACCCGGATATAAGAGACTTCCTCCGGTCCCGACAACTCTCTTATATCCGGGTTACACTGTATTACCTAGTGATCTTGAGTAAATACATGACAGAATATGTTTTAGGAGAGATAACAATCCGAAAAAATTATTAGAAGTTCCAAAGGACAGGTAATTGTGGAGAGTCATGATCGCCATACTCCTAAAGGAACACAGCACAGAGAAGTATCTGGACTTCATTTCTTATATATTTTTCCAGAAATAATCTCATTTGTGCATATTTGTTTTGGCTTTCGTAGAGATCATTGTATAATGAATTTACATGGCAAACTAATCCCTCTTTAAATTTTACAAAATTAATAATTTTATTCTTTTGATATTCTTCAACTAGTCTGTTTAATCTATAGCAGGGGTTATGGACCTATTTTGTATCATCATCCACATTCACATGGAAAAAATTTCCATCTTCTACCTGTATAGTAAATATTCAAAAGCATATCAAAGTTGTTTTGGTAGAAGTTTGTTACTGGTTCATAAACTAAGTTTATGACGTGGTAAAAAAATACGAAAGGGAGGTAACAAATAACGCTGATTTATGCGGGAGTGACAGATGCAACTAACGTATTAAAGAACGATAGAAAGCAAACTTGACCATTGTTAACTATATAGTATTTATTTTTATCTAAGTTTTATGGTTAAGTTAGCGTTGCAAGTTTTGACAAAATAAATTAAACGATGTTTTAAAATAATTATAAAATTAAAAAGAATATACACGACTAGCAACTAATAAAAATTGAGTGAGTATTTTTCTTTTTTTTTTTGCTCTTCGTCTTCCCGTATTTAATTAAAATCCGAAAAAGTATTATTTCTTCTGAAGAGTTCTTTTGAATGTTAAATGAAACTATAGAAAATACAAAAATATTCGTTGTTTGCACAGATATTTATATCTTATCTAGCAATATGACTCAGTTATTCTCGTTTAAACTCTTGTTTTTTTGTTTTGTATTTTTTTTGTTTAGTTATTTTTTTTTTTTGTTTTTTTGTGGTAAGTGAGTATACAGATTCGTTGCATATCTCATTTGAATATTTTTCGGGTAGCATATATTGGAATCTGTTATTCATACACAAAATTCTAAACTGTCCAATAAAATTTCCAATCGCCCACGATGTTCATTTGCTTAGCGCCCACCCAACAGTTGAGATCGGCCACCAGTGGTCGATATCTCCCTGGTTAAGAAATCCCGATTTATAGTAATATGAAAAAAAAAAAAAATATGAAAAGAAAAATGTTTATTTCTGGTCGCAGTCTTTACTGTAGACCTATTAATGATTAAGGAAAATCATTAATCCATCAATTCTTCTCCCAGATATGGGTTAAATAGCAGAGTAGACTGATTTCTCTATCCTTGATTGGCACCTAGTTTAAGAGAAGAAAAAACCCTATTTTCAAAGCAGTTGAGGAGATAACAAAAATCTACTCCGCTAAGATGTCAAAGATAATGAAGAAAGAGGATAGCCATGATCGTGTATATCATGAAATCAGATAGTATTTAAAAAATAAGGTATGAATGATTGCTCGGAAAAAAAACGTTTGAAAGAACCTCAGTTTCGAATACTACTGAGCACAAATTTATATCTTGCCTCGGTGTGAGCTGGTTAGTAGAATGTACAATACATTCGCAGGCTTGTAAAATTGCAATTATTCATTAGATGGCAACAAAATATCCACGTGAGGCAATCATTCATTAAAGCAAGAAGCTGGTGCATTCAATATCAGAAGTGCTCGATCCGTTGAAACGTGAGTTGTTTCACTAATGTGTTGTCGGGCAACAGAATCTCATGACACGTCATGTGACGTTCTCTACTCGCCTTTATCACGCGAAAGGAGACGTCAAGTCCCGTCTCAACCCTTCGATTTCTCTTTGGCAATTACTTTGACATCCATCTTACACCTCAGGAGTTGGTAGGTCAGGGTGGAACTGGCGGACGTCACTGTTGAAACTATTGGACGTGGCGTGGAATTTCGTGACTGAAGAAAAAAGACATGCAATTGCATTTAAGAATCGCATTCGATTTATGACCTGAATCCGCCGAAAACCAGAGTCCAACTCGATGACCTAAGACAGTCAACATTCAATAAAGGTAGTAACAGATGAGTGAATTCCAGTATATAGACACCAGTATATTTGTTTGTGCTTACGCCGACTTTCTTCCTGCAAATTGGCGTGTAGAGACTGTGTATTAACCGAGATAGGGTGTATATAACAGCGGTTCCGGAAATAAGTGTAACCCAGTTAAAAGCTAGCTTTTTCGAATGCCGACTCCAAAACAGGTCCATTGATACTGCACTTCATCTTCTCTTGTGTTTTCTTCTCTTTCAGCAATTGGGTAATTATGGCTCTCGACAGCTTCCTATCTTTCCTTGCTCGCAACAATGTTTGTCTTTTATTTATGCCTCCAAACCCCTGTTCTACGATATATTTACGCAAGCTAATGGAAATGAACTCATATCAGCCAGCTATTTCTGGGTTCCCCGGATCATACGGGAGGAAGCAGTCGCCTGGTGGAATAGGAACAGTCACTGTACTCGATCAAAGGTTTTGAACAACCTGTAAAATTAAAAATGTTACAAAGAGATAAAATAAATAGGATGTCGTGGAGAGTAATGATCACTTACGTCATGAACGGACATGACACATAAAATAAGAATAAGGTTAGAAATCATAAAGTGGGATTTCAACTGTTTTCAGGACGGGGAATTAATCTGATTTTTTACGGCTTATCAACCCTTTGTGGGTTTTTAAAGCCGAAATATATTTTTGGGTTGTGCGAATATTTCTTTTTTGCGAGGAGTTATTGTATTAACAGTTTTTGTTGATAATAATGATTTTCAGATACAAATCAAACTATTTAACCTGTAGCTGGGGGGATTCATTCCTTTCCCTATGACATGTGCATGTAAGTGAATTTAAGAAACCCGACTTGAATACGAACTCAACTCTCCGATTTCTCATTCAAAACTTTATTAATTACACCACCTGGGCATCCAAGCTTACAACACCTTACATTCTCAAAAGGTTAAGATTGGGGGAATTATATGCTTTAAAAGGGAAATTTATATGACATAAAATTGGGTGGGGGTCATATAATACGTTAGACTTGTTTCAAAATTATGTTACCATTACTATACGAATATTGAGATTGATATTATATGTAGTTTTGTATTATTATACTTGATCTGGCGTGAGCCATTATGGATCTCCACAAATTCCTTTTCATTTGAGCCCTTAGGAATGTTTGGTCATTTACCACCATTTTTTGTCCTATTCTGCCATCCATTTGCACAAAGGCGTTAAATAGTTTTCTTGCTTTTCCTCTATGCCACTCCTGACCCTCAATATGTCCAGTGAGGGTTAAATTAACCTAGCCTTCCTTCTCCAGTATGTATCCAAGTAATTTCAGCAATCTTTTTCTCATTTTCAATGTGAGTGCTTTTTTTTTCCTTGGCCATTTTCCTTAAAACTACCTCTTTGCTCACAAACCGTCCATATTCTATGCATCCTTCTGTAGAACGACACTCTCGTCTCTTCATCTTTAATGAAACTGTCCAACATTCACTGCTATATAAGAGGACGGATATGTGACACCAGCTCTAATGAAATTTTCCAGCCTCTGACGACTTTCTTCCGCTTATGGAAGGTGTCTTTCTCTGTTACAATACCCGTTCGCTTTGTCTATGTCACATTTTCCATCTTCTGTACCTACATTATACAGAGAGTTAACTTTCTCTAACTCTTTTATTGCGACATCACCAATTCGTAGCTTACACCCATGGGTTGTCTTTCTCTTTCTGACGACTCTACATTCTGTCTTCTTTTTTCTTTCTATGTGCTATGTCCTTTCAGGGAGTAGGCAATCATGGCTTTCCCCCTCTCTATATCCGTTGCGGCTCTCAGCAAGCTTCTTCCCCCTGCCTCCTCCCCCAGACCACATTCTGTCATCCGCTTGTCAGGTATGTTACGTGCTGCTTTCTCTTGTCTCTCTTTCCCCGATTCGACCCGTGAGTATCAGATTCTCCAGGCCCTCCTTCCTCATTATGTGTCCCAGAATCTTCAGCTGCCACTTTCTGCTATTAAGTATAAGTCTTCTCCCTGCTTGCGACTTCTCTAAGATCTCATCATTGCTCACATGCTAAGTCCATGATATCCTTAGCATCCTTCTGTAGAACCAGATGTCTGTCGCCTCGAGTCTCTTCTTCATCTTTCAGGAAATCGTCCAACATTTGCTGGCGTAAAGAAGGACAGATGTCACGTAACAGCTCAGTATTCTTTTCTGTTTTACTGTTTCTATTATCCGTTGCCAGTCAGAAGACTGAACAACCCAATAGTTTTAATTCTTAATATTCCCAAAGGGCAAGAACAAGCACACTGCCATATCTGTTATGTTAAAAATTACCGCAATCTGCTTCCTTTAGGTGAATATATTTAAATTACTAAGGAAAGGAAAATACCTCATATCGTTTCTTCAAAAAAATTGTTATAATTTCTCTATTTTACTATTAAACAGTGTTTCTAATCTCTTACGAAAAATGTGTATATTAAGGCTAAAAAAAAACACCTATGGGCTGGGTGTGTAGTCAGTGTAATGGATATCCGAGCGTAAAGTGAATTCGGCAACGTGAGTTCAAGTTCCGTTTACTTTCGAAGGAATGCCATTAATAAAGGCATGAATTAGTGTATTAAGTCTCTGCTATGACGATGAACTACACCCGGCAGCAGGGTTGGAGATTTTAAGGAACGTGGAATCAATTCTTAATTGTTATTGTGCCCAGGTTCACAAAGACCCGAGGTGGTAGCACCTGTTAGGGTCCCAGCTATGGGTAAATAGCAACCACTAACAAAGAAAAACACTATGCAAATATAGATATATAACAATAGTGAAAATAGCAGCAATATTTTTTTATATAAAAAGTGTGTGTGTGTGTGTGTGTGTGTGTGTGAAAGAGAGCAGGAACGTCTGTATATTTACGCAGCAGTTATTTATGTTACAACGAAAACTTATTTAATCTTTTTTATTAATTTTTTTCATCGATTCTGACAATTTGTCTAACTTCCGGGCTCAGGTTGAACATATATTGTTCAATCATTTCTCTTTGCTTTCGACTTCCGTTTACCATATTCAAATAATTTGTTGATTAGTCACAAACTCTACAGAGGTGTGCATTGTATTACCTCGTAGTTTTGATCAATTATCAGTTTGAAGAGTGCCTTGGCATTGTTTGTTTTAGTTTTCAAATATATTTAATATGCTTGTTCTTGAACAGAATGAACTTTTATTAATGCTAGATTGTTTATCTTCGTTGTTTTATGTCTGATATTTGCAGCTGTTTATTTCACTTTATTCTGCATCATAATGGTATCAGCATTTGCTGCATTTCTTGCGCTGTGTTTTGCAAACATTGGTCGCTTATAGTCATTTTTATGGGACAATTGCTACATTGATGGCAAGTTAGTCTTCAAGGTAATGTAGTGAATGTGTAACCAATATATAGGTTGTCTGAATATTTATTATTAGAGATATTATCTAAATGCTGACAAATACAGTGCTGTTCGATAAAAGTGACTCACCTGATTTTATTTACTAAATTGTTGAGCTAAATTTAAAGGATAAGCGATCTAAAATCTGAAGAAGCTTTGAAAGCTCTTTGATTTTAGCAGTAAGTAATGTCAAGCATCCGTTCAGTTTAATGTTCTGGGGATGCTTTTCTTTTCATGAAACTGGTTTCTTAAAACTTATTGAAAAGACCCTCAGGAGCGAGCAGTACAAGAGAACTTTAAAGTCTTGTCTGCTTCCTTCTGCTGAAAGTGTGCAAATCGACCCCACCAAGCTCATTTTTATGCAGGATAATGCTCCCTGTCACAAATCAAAATTGATGAAGGAATACTTTGATGAGAAGCAGGTGAGTGTTATGACATGGCCGCCCCAATCTCTTGACCTTAACCCCATTGAAAACTTATGGAGCATTATAAAGTACAGACTCTCGAGAAAGCAGTTGAGCAACAAAGAGGATTTGATTATGAATTTCATATCCGAATGGAATTCAATGCTTGCAGATGAAATTTGCCAGAACCTAATCAACTCAATGTCAAAAAGGGTTGAAAAGGTTATGCAAAATAAAGGAGGACCCATAGATTATTAAATATTTCGAACTATTTTACCTATTATAAATAAATTATACCTCTATTATTCTTTATTTAAAGCTGTTCGATTATGTTTCTATTAATTACTAGTTGCAGGAAATAAGCGAGTCACTTTTTTTTTGCACAGAGTTTTTCCCTAAATCTCATTTATATTCAAAATTATAATTATCAATAGAATAGCTTAGGGTGAGTAAACTTTTTTACTAGGTGGTCGGGAAGGGGTATTTATATTAGTAAGATTAAAAATTAGTTTGACCACAAAAAGAATAGGCGAAAAAAATTTTTAAGTAAAAAAAATCAGGTGAGTCACTTTTATCGAACAGCACTGTATATATATTAGCTCCAAAATTCCTTTCGGTTTATTCAACAAATTAAAAAATATTTACTGCATCGAGTTTATTCCTATTTCCATCCACTCTCTTAGTAAAAAAAAAAAAGTCTTGGAATCATGGTATATACATTTTCCTTCTTTGAAAGATGACTGGATTGTATATGATTAATCAAAGTTCTAATAACCCTGTTTTACAAAATTTTTCGTTTTTAAAAATATACGCTTTTTCTCGATGGTCATAATGTCTTTAAAATAGAGAATATTTGTTGTGTAATTTCTCCAACGAATTTCACATAGTAATACCGTCTTACTGTGTGATTCTTTTTTTTTTTAATTAAATGGAGAGCACACACCAAAACGGCAAACAAAAACAAAAAGTTATTTTCAATGTATGATTTTCAGCATTTTATCCATATTCTTCGTCGTATACTGTTAATTATTCTCAAATAATATTTCTACGAACACTAATTCATCCACAATTATTCTCAAATAATATTTCTATGAATACTAATTCATCCACAATTATTCTCAAATAATA